TAATTTAGGTAATTTTCTTCATGTATCTTGTCAATACTTCACTGGAAACAGATTTTCTCCTCTAAGAAGCTGTGGCTTTCTGGGGATTTTCTCCTATATTCGTCCATACTCTCCAGAATTAAAGAATCACTAATTCTCTCTCCAACTTGCCTCTTCAGGTCTCTAAGACAACAGATTTGCCACTTGCTATATGAAATCATCCTTGAGAAATCCAAAAGTTTTCAGATTTCACCTTGTAACTATATGAAAAGTGTTTCCACATGCTCATATTACAGCAGCCTTTTGTTGAAGAAACCTACTGTATCATTTGTTGGAAAACTACTCTAAAGGAGTTGGAGCTTAACTTACAGATTAAGTATAGCTTGAAATCATGGCTTTTATGATAACATTGCATGAAAAACAAACTCTGCCATGTAAGAAAACTTTTCTTATACAACTCTAAGAGTCCAGCATCCCCAAATCAGTGAATCATTGGAAAACCTCTGTCCCTGCCTAGGAATCCTGGTGGCACAGTGGTTAAAGTGCTGGCCTTCAACCAAAAAGTCAGTGGTTTGAACCCACCAGCTGCTCAGTGAAAGAAAGATGTGGCAGTGTGTTTCTGTAAAGATTTATAGCCCTGGAAACTTTAAGAGGCAGTTTTACTCTATCCTGTAGGGTTGCTATGAGTTAGAATTCCACTTTGACAATGGGTTTTTTTTTTTTTTTTTTTTTCAATTTAGCACAGAGTACAACTGCCCCATAGGACTTCCGTGCCTGTAAATCTTTACAGAAGCAGACTGCCGCATCTTTCTCCCAAGGAGCAGCTGGTAGGTTCAAACCACCAACCTTTCAATTAGCAGCTGAGCACTTAACCACTGCACCACCAGGGCTCCTGATATTCTATCCTATAGAGTCTCCATAGGGTCTCTATGAGTCAGGATCGATTCACAGCAGAGGGTTTGGTTTTAATTTTATTGGTACACAACCCAATGCTATGGCCATAGGGCTCATACAAGACTAATGCCATAATGTGAATATGCAGACAGTGCAGCCAGACTGAGTAGGGTGATATTATACTACTGCTTTAACCTCCAGGGGGTCCCCACTGCCTACTGTGTGACTCCTCACTGGGGCTTCCAAGGACCCTTATTTATTTGTCCTCCTTACCCTACTTGTCTCCTGCAGGTATACTAAGTTCTAGATTAACCAGATTACCCCCAGCTCTCTGAACAGACCAAGCATGTATTACTTCCAAATTCTTGTACAAGGTATCTCTCCCTCTGAGATGCTCCAACTCCTGTCTTCCTCAGATTCCATCCTAAATGTTCTTCTCTAGAGCTATCCCTGATTCTTCCTCCAACATCCTAGACCACCTCCAACTGGACATAGCTACAACTGCCATGAAACTCTTGTGCTTTTGTAACTCACCCATGGTACTTATTTTCTAAACGGTGTGGCAGTAATTAGAGGACATTGGTAGTTCAGTGGTAGAATTCTCCCCTTAACATGTAGCAGACTCAGGTTTGGTTACCAGCCAATGTACCTCAAACACAGCCACTGCTAGGCCCCAAAGCTATTAAGAAGCAGAGCCAGACCTCAAATCCTGCCTTAAGCCTCTGATCATTTGTTGTCTTTGTTATGTGCCATCGAGCTGGCCTGAGGACCCCTCCTTGGGTTTCCGAGGCGGTATCACTATGGAAGTAAACTGCCCAACCTTCCTTCTGAGGAGTGACTGGTGGGTATGAACCGCCAGCCTTCTGGTTAGTAGTCAAGTGCCTTAGGTACTATGTACCAGATCTCCTTCTGATCATTTAGCAAAGTGCTAATGAGTTCACCTTCAAGGACCTACTGGTAGAGTAAACTCTTACTCTCAGCTCTCTTCCTGCAAGCCTGGCTGAACCACTCCAGGCAGCCCTCAAATACCCAGCCAGCCTCTGGTAACCAGTACCAGGGTGGAAGAGGGGAGAAGCAGCTGAAATCATGCTCCATGCAGATTCTGGGAACAGCAGGTCCTGTGCCTCCCTAAAAACCTGGTAATAGTCTTCTCAGGTTATTTGGTCTTAAAGGCCCCACATGAGGGCCCTTTTTCCTAATTTACAAAAGACAGTCTGGAGAGCCACCTACAAGTCATCTCAGGCTCATGAAAGCTCTGGTAGGGCTCAAAGAATTGAATTGAATCTCTGGCTTTCTAGGCCATTGCATTTTGTTTTTGATGGGAGTTCTTTTTCTCCCTTTTCTTCATCTGATCATTTTCTCAATTTTCCCTTTCTAGTTCAGGCTTTTTCTATAATACTTGTATTGGGCACATGCTTTTTTTTTCTCCTAGCTGAGACTATTATATCTCGCTATTGTAGTGTTCCTTTTCCATTGAAAGCAATCAAAAATGAAAATCCACATTTCAGAACAGTGTCTATTAAATATGCACCTTTTTGTGGCTGAAAAAAAAGAAAGTCCTCTCTGAGGGCTGGTTTTCAGCTTTGCATTTTCACATAAAGATTGGATACTGGGAGAGACTTCTCCCACATGTGCCATTTGAGTGTGATAATTGAGAGTGATAGCAGAAAGTCTAGAGTCAGAACCAACTTATTTTAAAGAATGCCTTAGTCTAAAGCCTTGCTAATAAAAGTATGGTCTGTGGACTTTGTTGAGGCAAAAGCCTCACCTGGGTGCTGGTTAGAAATGCAAAATCCCAGGCCCCACCTCAGAACTGAATCAGAATCTACCTCTCACAAGATCCCCTAGTGATGTGCATGCCCATTACAGTCTTAGAAGCACGGGGCTAGAGAACTCAAAAGTAAATTTGCTTTTATTCCATCCTAGCGCTTCCACATAGCTTGTTGTTGTTGTTGTTATTCCTGAAGAATGAAAATCTCTAATGAACTCCATAGGACATCCCCCACCATCTTTCTCCACCCAAGCTATTCATTCATAGAGGAATTCTGAAATAACAAAATACTCTTCTAGAAATCACACACTTAGCTTAAAAGAGCGTTTCTGCAGTAGATGAGTAACTAAAAAGAAAGAGCTCTGAAACTGAGAGGTGAGACATAACTTATTCCCACCCTCATCTTCAAGGCTCTGCGTCTTTTTGCTTGACGTGTTCCTCTCTGGGAAGAGAAGGATAAAAGAGTGCCTTATGAATCTCACAGGTGAATGATGTGAGAGCAGTGGGGCAATGCCGTGCACCTGAACTCTGAGATCCTGGAGGAAGATGCTCTGTAAACATAAATGTAAGGAAACTCCAGAACACAACCTTCAAATCCATCAGGGCTCTACTCCCACCTCACATGTCCAATAAGAACTGTCTAGACATAGGTTGATGAGCCCTGATCTGTCATCTACATGGGAAAAATGGACCAAGAGGACAGAAAATCATATGGACCTGGTTTGAGGGAATGAAAGGTAGAACTGGGAGGGAAAGGAAGGATGGGGGAAGAAGGATGGGAAAGGGAAAAGGGAAGGGAAAAAAAAGAAGAGAAATGACCCAGCCCCACTCAACCCTGCCCTGCCCACCTGTGCCCCGTCACCCATGAAGCAGAACTTCAGGTTTCACAACATGTGACCTTGTCTTTTATGAGGAGGAAGCCTGACTTAGAGACATTTTTCTGAAAATAAAAAGAAAACTCAGTGCCTTCAAGTCAGATCTGACTCATAGCAACCCCTCCTTGGGTTTCCGAGGCGGTATCACTACGGAAGTGGACTGCTCAACCTTCCTTCCGAGGAGTGACTGGTGGGTTTGAACCGCCAGCCTTCTGAAAATAAGAGTACCAAAAAAGTTACCCCTTGCTACAAAGCAAAACAAAATCCAGGTCCCCAACAAAGTGTTTTCTCACCAACTCTGACAGGCATGCACATCACAACAAGCATCTTTATACTCTGAACAGATTTCTAAATGGAACACCCCGAGTTATTGATTACTTTGTGTTAAAGCCCAACTTGTTATTCCCCTCCCCCACTTCTGCTAATTCTTCACTTGATGTTTCCATCTTTACATTCAAATTCCCTGAAACAGCAGTATTTCAAAACACTAAGAATGGTTTATTTGTATCAATCAATACTTGTTTTTCTACCATTTATAATTTATTTGTGTATGAACAGTAGTTCACCTCCAGAAACATGGTTCTGTCCTTGTACCATGTCCACATCAGCAAACCCTCGCAGAAAATCTGGAATGGGCAGCAATGACCCACAGCAATGAGGAATGGAGGTTGGAAGACTCTCAGCCTCTGAAATTCTGAAAGAAACTCCATCTGTCTTCCTCTGCCACAACCACAAGTTAGCCCCCTCCTCCAGAACCAAGTATGTTATAGATTAGACGCCTCCAGAGGCTAAGGCCATCAATTTTATTTCAGCTAACTTCCCCTTCATAGAAGAGCACTTGACTTTTTTCCCCTTGTAAATCAGACCTAGATAGGCAAAGCAATTTTCCAGACACACAACTGAAGGAAATCCTCTGCCTCCCCTCCCTACCCCCAACATGCGCAGACATGCTGGCACACACCACTTCCCAGGGAAAGAGAAAATGAAGAGAAAGTTAACTTTCGAATAAACCTGTTCTTCAACCCTACCGGCCATGTTTGCAGACCCTTCCCGTCACAAACGTGGTTCATGCAACTGTTGCCTAAATCCAGGGTGGGGAAACCTGACCTCTGCCTGCTGAGGGCGTGGGCAAGGGTCAGAGGTCCACAAACACACGTTAACCACAAATAAACCACTCTTTTCCCCTTTCTCTTGGCCAAAGTGAGAATAATGGGCCAAGCTTTGTTGTCATTCCTTCCGGAGTAGCCAGGTTGGGCGGCTGTTGGGAAGCTTGTCAGAATGTGGGTGGGGGAATATGTGTGCCCACGAAACTCGGGGGGTTTTGAAGAGGGTGGTATCAGGTTGGGAGACGGGGATCCTAGGGCTTTCAGGGACCCCTAAAGTCTGAGTGCACCGAGGGGGTTAAGGCTCTTTAGCCAACGCGGCTTCCCCTCTCCGACAGGGCTGTCCCGGGCCCTCCGCATCACAACGGGGTCACTCACCGCCTGTAAGCTGTGCAGGGCCGAAGCACAGCGCCAGCTGAAACCACAGGATCACGGCCAAGAGTCTCTGGGGGGACTGAGGCTGCTGCTGCTGCTGCTGCTCTAGAAATCCATCTCCATTGCTCGGGTTCATTCCATGATACATCTTTCATCCACAGAGGGCATTCGGCTTGCAAGAGTCTGCAACCAGAAGTGGAACACGACAATGCCCCAGGCTGCAGGGGCTCAGGGGCCACGCTCCCCCTCCTCCGCCCGGGGCCCTGGCGCCTCGGCTCCACGGTCTCCATCCCCGCTCCTCCCCCGCACGGCCCCCGCCCCCTTTCCCACGGCGAGCTCCCCGCCCCCCGCGCGGGGTGCACTGAGTAACAGCCGCCGTGGGATGCTGCGCGTGCGGGAGGGATGGAGGAGGGGAGGAGGGCAGGGGGGTTCGCGCACATTGGCTCTGCGCCGTCTCCGCAATTCAGCGGTTGTAACCATGACAGGAAAGTCTACAGCCTTCCAGCATCTCGGGGCTGAACGTCCACTTTTCCTTGGGCCTAGACATTTCACTCTTCTGAATCTCGCAATGTGGCACCGGATCCCCTGCTACTTCTCTGGCTTTCCCCAAGATCGGGATAGGTCCTATTGCTACAGTCCCCACAGAGATTTCTCTGTGCGGTTCAAAAATTCCTTCCTTTGGGAGCAAAAACAGGCACCAACTCCCTCTTCCCGGTCTGCGCGCTCCTCCTCGGGATGGAAAGCCCCTTCCGGGGCTCTCGGGCTTACCTGTGGGTCTCATGCATGCAGCTTCCTTTCCTCCTCCGCCTCCTCCCCCCGCCAGTCTCACCCGCATCTGTGCGCGACCTCTGCTGCCGCCGCTGCGCGAGCGAGCGAGACAGAAGCTTCAGCAGCGGTGGCGGCAGCGGCACCAGGCTCCAGCTCCCCCGCCCGCGCTCTCCCTCCCCAGGCTGCCGCGGGCGAGCGGGAGGGTGCAGGGGGAGGACAGCAGCCCGGCCACGCGCCCCCGAGGAGGCGCCGGCGCGCCCGGTACCTGAGCTCGTGAGCGCGCGCGCGGCGGCGGCGGCACGGAAAGGGGGAGGGGACGGGAGAGGGGCAGTGAACGCGGAGGCCCAGGAGCGCGCGCGGGCACGCGCTTCCGCCGACAGAGCTGGCGCTACGGCGGGGGAGGGGGACTAGCTAGGGCGGGGAAGGGAAGGGGACCCGCGTCGCCGCCGCCGCGACCAATGGGAAGCCCGCGCGCCTGCACCTGTCGGGGCGCGAGGCGTTCTGCGGCCGCTCTCTCCGCACGCACACGCGGCCGCTGATGTCCCTTCGCGGGCACGGGATGGCAGCCCCCTTCCTGGCTGCGCTTGTCCTCTGATGCCCTGCCAGGTGCTCGCCGCGGCCTCCGCTTGTCCTCTGGTGTCCTGGAGTGCGGCGCGGCGCGAAAAGCTTCCAACAGAGAAAGTTCTCCAGTGGAGAGGATAGTCTTTCTGCGTCATTTCTGGTGACCAAATGCATCCAGCAGCGGGTGCCTTTCTCACTCCTCACCAGGTCTGGCCAACCGCAATCTAACGCCAAGATGGTCCCCCTGAGCTTGCCAAGCTCCAAGGGTAATGTACCAGCTACAGCGGTTAAGGGGTGTTAGCCAATAACGTGACATCAACAGGCAACACTTTAGAACCAGTAGTTGTTTGGTGCCCTCGAGCAGGTTCTAACTCATAAAAACCCTAAGTACAACAGAAGAAAACACTGCCTGGTCCTGCCCATCCTCACAATAGTTGCTATGCTCCAGCCGATTATTTGCAGCCACTGTGTCAATCTATCTCCTTAAGGGTCTTCCCCTTTTGCCCTGACCTTTACCAAGCATATCCTTCTCCAGGGTCTGGTCTCTCCAGATAACATGTAGAAAGTACATGAGACTTGTCTCGCCATCCTTGCTTCTAAGGAGTATTCTGGCTGCACTTCTTCCAAGACAGATTTGTTCGTTCTTCTGGAGTCCATGGTATTTCAGTATTCTTTGCCAACACCATAATTCAAATGCATCAATTCTTATTTAGTCTTCTTTATTAATTGTCCAGCTTTCACATGCATATGAGGTGATTGAAAATACCCTGGCTTGGATCAGTTGTACTTTATTTCTCAAAGTGACATCTTTGCTTTTTAACACTTTAAAGAGGTTTCTTGCAGCAGATTTGCCCAATGCAATAATACATCATTTCATTCCTTGACTGCTGCTTCTATGGGCATTGATTGTGGATCCAACTAAAATGAAATCCTTGACAACTGCAATCTTTTCTCCATTAGTCATGAGGTTACTTATTGGTCCAGTTGTGAGGAATTATGTTGTTTTTTTTTTTATGTTAAGATGTAGGAGCTCTGGTGACACAGTAGTTATTCAGCTACTAACCCAAAGGTCAGCAGTTTGAAACCACCAGCTTCTTTGCAAGAGAAAGATGATACAGTCTACTTCCATGAAGAAACCCTATGGGGACGTTCTATTCTGTCAGTATGAGTCGGAACCAGCAAGCAAGGTTCTGTCATCTGGATATCACTGGTTGTTAATGAGTCTTCCTCCAGTCTTGATGCTGCATTCTTCTTCATATAGTCCCACTTCTTCATAGTCCAGCTTCATGGATTATTTGCTAAGCATACAGATTGAATAAATATGGTGAAAGGATACAATCCTGATGCCATACCTTTCCTGATTTTAAACCCTTGTTCTGTTCAAATGACTGCTTCTTCGTCTATGACCAAGTTCCACATGAGCACAATTAAGTGTTCTGGAATTCCTATTCTTTGAAATATTATCCATAATTTGTTATGATCTACGCAGTTGGATGTTTTTGCATAGTCAATAAAACATAAGTAAACATCTTTCTGGTATTCTCTGCTTTCAGCCAAGATCCATCTGACATCAGCAATGAGATCTCTCATTCCACATCCTCTTCTGAAACCAGCTTGAATTTCTGGCAGTTCCCTGCCAATGTATTGCTGCAACGAGTGGCACTCCATTATTCTGCAGCAATTGTAGATATGAAAACCATGTTTCTGATACTGCTAACAAATCATCCCTTACTTCTTTCAGCTTTCCCAAAATCTAACATACTGATGGTAGTTAAGAAATGACAGCTTTTACCATGTTGACTCTTAGTGGAAGTAATTTTAACAAATTCTTTCAGGATAGATTACCTTGTAGTAGATAAATCAAGTTCAGTATGTTTCTGCTTTGTAAAACTGAGATGGCAGCTTTGCACAGAATAAGTTTAAAATTGTAACAATCACTAGTTTGTTCCTGCTAAAGCTTGTGCCTTAGGGCTCCAAATTCTTGGTCGAGCAGCCTTCTACATTTCCAAGGTCATATGACTGCCGCTACAGTTTGTTCCACTTTTTTCTCAGTGAATATTCTAAAGTTTCTTTTATGGTCATCAAATCGACAATGCTCAAAAATATTTGTGACCATGTACATATTTTTGCAATCATAAGAGAGATATCTGAGTATAATTTGTCATGGATTAATTTGTATCCCCCCAAAATATGTGTCAGCTTGGCTGAGCCATGATTCACAGTGGTTTAGCAGTTAGGTAATGATGTAATGTGGCATTTATTTAATGATCCCCCATAATGTGATGTGATGTGATAAGCAAGTAAGTTGTAAGAGGATTAGTGTGGGATGTAACAGCCTTAATCCTGTCACAACCCTGATCTGAGGTAAGGAGAGTTTCTCCTGGGTGTGCCCTATAACATCTTTTATCTTACAGGAGAGAAAAGCAAGCAGAGAGAGGGGACCTTACTACTAACAAGAAAGAAAAGACAGAAGTGAAGTGTGTCCTTTGAACCCAGGGTCCCTGTGCTGGGAATCTCCTAGGCCCAGGGGAAGATTGATGCTAAGACTCATGGAGATCACCAAGGAATGCTAGGCCAACAGATGCTGAAAGGAGACAAGGACCTTCCTCTTAAACTGTGAGCCAACAGAGAGAGAAAGCCTTCCCCTAGAGTTACCGCCCTGAATTTGGACTTTTTGCTTCCTAAAATGTGATAACATGAATTTCTGTTTGTTAAAGCCATCCGCTCTGGTATTTCTGTTATAGCATCAGTATGTAACTATGACACTAATGAAATCCGTTCTTGAGCTGGTTACAATCCATTTGTATAGAGAATATCAGGAGTGTAAGGAGGACCTAACTTTTCTAGTCCAAGCACAGAATCTGTGTTTGAGGTCCCTATCTGACATACCTATGTATGGTGGCATAGTGCCTAAACCAGGAGCTCTGGTAGCATAGTGCCTAAGGCACTTGACTGCTTACCAGAAGGCTAGCGGTTCAAACCCACCAGCCATTCCTCTGAAGGAACGTTGGGCAATCTACTTCCATAGTGATACTGCCTCGGCAACCCAACGAGGGGTCGCTATGAGTCGGGGCCGACTTGATGGCACATAACAACAACAACAACAGTGCCTAAAACATTTGACTGCTAACCAGAAGGCTGGCGGTTCAAACCCACTAGTCACTCCTCAGAAGGAAGGTTGGGCAATCTACTTCCATAGTGACACCACCTCAGAAACCCAAGGAGGGGTCACTACAGGTCGGATCCGACTCAACAGCAGTGTTTGGTTGGTTGATATATGGTCATGAGTATACTCCTATTCGCCTACCCATACTTGATCTTCTTGCCTGTCTTCCTATGTATCCACTTATAGATTAATGTTTGTTATTACTGATAACAGATGATGTATGTAATAGTGTTTACCTTTGTTTTCTATAACTCTCGTATACCTCTCTGTGTCTTCCTTTTCCTTAATGGTATTGTATGGCTCACCCACTTTTTGTATATTGCCTTTCCTTTCACCCAAATTAATCCATGTCTCTTACTTAGTCAGTAATTTTCCCTTTCCTCCCTTCCCATCCATCAAAGAATGTTTCTTCCTATGTGTAAACCTTTCCTTGAATTTTTATAGTGTACTCATACAAAATTTTGTCTTTTTGTGATTGACTTGTTTCACTCAAGCATAATGCCTTTGCTGCACAGGATTTTCAAGGGCCGATTTTTCAGAAGTAGGGCACTGGGCCTTTTTCCAGAGGCACCTCTGGGTAGATTCAAACTGCCAACCTTTCAGTTAGTAACTGAGCCCTTAACCGTTTATACCATCCAGAGATTCCATTCTCT